ATTCATTTTGACTTTTGTTTTGATTTGATTTTCAATTTAATTTTATTTCTCGGTGAATTGCCCTTGGATTTCAGTTTAATTTTGAAATGATTTTTATTTTGATACTGCAATTACTTTTGCTTTTAAATTTGCTTGCTACTTCATTTTACTTTCAATCGTTCTTTTTCCTTTGTTTTGCAGTCACGTTCCATTTTACTCTCTCTACTCTTTTTTCTCTTTCATTTTCTATTAAATCTTTGAAAAATTGTAAAATTTTGAATGGCAGCCCTCGGCCACCATAGCTTCTTTGTTTCCGATCACGGGTATGATGACGTGGATCTGTTGTCATTGGCTAGCAAAGTGAATCCGCTGGCTTGCCGATTGCAATGTCAAGAGGAGCGCATAACTTTATTCTGACTTCTCTGACTGGTTCTCTGCTTCTGGACGAAGGATACTTTGGACCCATGTTCTGACGGTGATATAAATAATGATGTGAGCTCACTCTATGTAGAAATAATCGACAAGAATCGATCGTACTACAAATGCACGATTTGTGGCCGAAAGTTGTCGAGGAAACAAAGACTCGAAACTCACTTGAGTTGTTTTCAATTCAAAGGTGAGAAATAACACAAGCCAATCACAATTTTAAAAGCGATTACAAATCGTCTTTTACCCTAATTTTTATAAAAAGAAGGATACCACAGTAGGAAGTATAAGAGATACATAGATGATAACAGTGTACCAATACCTAGACCAACAAAGTTTGACCGTAGCAAGCGTTCAGCAACACGTTCCAACACCGCCATCTCGATTCCACAGTCAGTCGTTTCCACTGAACTTAAAGCAGTGGTGACAACAGAGTAGAGTGCGTCTCATAAAGGAGAAACATTTGTACAAGAGACAGAAGTAACTATATGCGATTACAGAGGTGCGTTGGAACTCTGGTCCACAAATGGTTATGCACTGTCCAAAGTAGAAAACAATTTTGTTGATAGCTGACAGACAGAGAAGAACAACAAGTAAACTTTAGAGCTGTTATTATTGAAGTGTGACTTGCACTTTTCATTTGTATATAAAGACGGACTTTTATTTCGCACTAAAAATAAAAAGAAGTAATATTTGTTGGGAGATCCAGTGATTAGGACATTTAAGAAATTAAGTTATGAAAGTAAACCCAGTTTGTACTTCTCTGACTACTAACAAGTCTTGTTTTAAAAATATTTTTAGATCAGAGTTTCAAATAAAGTAAATTGAAGAAGTCATTTAAAAGGTGTTTTTTCTCAAAGGGAACATTGACTACCTCTGTCTTGTCTGCATGCCAAATGTTTGCAAAGTGTGTGGATGATCCACAAGTATTGGAACTCTTACAAAATGTTTTGTAAGAATAAAAACAGCAAAACAAATAACAGCAATCAGTCACAAAAACAGAGCAAAAAACTGAAGAAAAAAAAACAGCAACAATAATCATGAAAAAAGAAATATCAATTAGGTGTTGAATTTGTTTTTCTAAGTCATGAAATTTCTATCGAATTATGTCAAGAAAAAGTCTCTGACAGTGTTTGAGGCAACTGAGCTTGACTGTTCCAAGGTTTTCTAACAAAGGCAACCAGTAATGTAGGTTAGGGAAGTAACTTATTTTCATAACTAACAAAGTTCTTTAAGTGTAGATAACAATGTAATTATTGTTACACATGTGGAAGTTGTGTACCAAGGGACAGCTAATGAGTGTTTGATGATTCTGGCACATCTGTGAACATGAGACATTTTGTATCACAATAAAAATATTTTATGATCATGGAATCCAAGAGTTCTTTGAGGTTAGAAAGCAAATCTGTGATATGAGTACATTGGATAAATTTGCATTTTGCATTTACATAATTGACTGCTGCTTCACGAGAAAATCCATATTAATTTAGAGATTTACTAAAACTAAGTTTCAATAATAAATTTCATGATCTTTAAGTTATAAACATATACATGTATATATATCTCTTGGTAAATTTTGTATAGCATACCTTTTGTGGAGCCAAAGTTTTAAGCCTTTAAGGTTACTCCTTTTCTTAAAACCTTCACATTCAAGGTATTGAGAATTTCATGGAATTTATGTACACCTCAGGGTATTTAAATTGCCTCAAATTCAATTCCCAGAAATTCCCAAGAATTCCACCCTTCTTAAATTACGGCTAGTTTGTATAGCTGAGAATTCCTAGGAATTCCTAGGAATTCCAAGTCCTTACAAAACTGGAGTCTTCCTTTCCCAGAAATTCCCAGTAATTCCAAGCTTTTCAAATCAGAGCATATTTGCATAGTTGAGAATTTTTAAGAATTCCTAGGAATTCCCAGAAAACTGGGAATTCAGTTTACAAGGGTTATTTGCACAGTTGGGAATTTTTGAGAATTCCTAGGAATTCCTGGGAATTCCCGGAAAACTGGGAATTAAGTTCGCAAGGGTACACTAGCAGAGACATACATCTACTGTAGGAGAAAAGAAGGAATATAATCAAATGCAAGAACAAACACAAACATCATCAAATTTTAGTCTGTGACTGAATAGTGCAAAGTACTTACTGCATATAATATCCAGAGTACACAGAGTAATGTATGGCATTATGTTGAAAGTTCCTGTCTTGACCTTTTTCTACACAGTTTTATGAGAAAGAAACAAAAAATCTCATTCAGTCATTTTGTCTTTTTTACTTCTCTTGCATCTTCTGAGGATACTTTTGTCTCATAACATGAAGCACTATGATTATTATGTTTTATTCCCATTTAATTAGCATGAACTGCATTGTGCACGCTTGCATGTTCAACTATCTATGGTATGCAGTGTAATGTAGATTTATTAAACTGTTACCTCAAGGTTTGAAACCAGAATTTTTGATTGTTCTTCAAAAACTTGTAGGAAGGTATTCAAAGTGCTGAAGTGAAATGTTGGAGTGATCAACCTTCGCCTTGTCTTCCATTTTAATCCATCACTAAAATATAATAACAGGTTCAAGCACATGCAGAATATTTCATTTATTAAATGAAAGGAATTAATGACAATGTTTTTCCCTTTCTTCTTTTATTGGTGAAGTGACAAGAGGGGGACTTGTCCATTCAATTTTCAAAAGGTAGCAAGCCATTACACATGGTTTAATTAAAACTTTTTGTTGTTTTTGTTTCTTTTTAAAGCAGAAAACATGTTTTAGGATTTACAGAAAATTTATGGAACAGAGGAAACTGTCTTTCAAGCTTAAAATCATATTAAACCAAAATTCTTCATGGAACATGCAATACATGTACATTTATACATATTTACATATATGTTTTAATGAACATCATGAAGCTTAGTAAAACAACCCAGCCCAGGCTTCTGCATATGGCTATCATCTAAACTCTTCTACCATTTCATAGTAAGTTGGTATGTAAAATGTACCCCACCTGGTCAGCAGGCCTTGGTTAATACAACATCAATGATCCATAATAAATCACAACATTTATGTAATAGAAAAGAAAATAAAATGAGATGACACTGATAAACATCTGCCTAGACAAGGACAAAGACAAAGATCGCAGCACTTCCTGTTTACATGACCATGGTCAAGTAGATGTGTATCTGAGAGTGCTGCAGCATTTTTAATCATCATCTTGTTATGGTCATCAGAAAATTTTCACATTAAAAAAAAGTATTTCCACATGCTTCTAAATTAGTTCATGAAACCAACATGCAAATTGAGAACAAGCCTTTGAGGCAATTTGAGACCAAACTGACCAAGACGAGGTTTAAAGTGAGGCCAGCTTGGACAGAGTACTCAACTGAGAATTATACAATGTTCAACCAAATCAGTGATGTAAAATGTAATCTGAAATTTAAATTGTTTAAACTGACCGGTTCCTAACCAAGGATGTAAAAAGTCATAATCTGCAGACTTTCTGATATGTTTGGAGCTATGCAAAACAACCTAAAAAGCAAAGCAGTACTTTAGATATAAAAACAAAACCAATTGAATTAAAAAAGCAATTAAGATCAAGTAAGATCAGAATGAAAGGGATTTTGCAAAACATTAATCAATCACACACAAACGTGGCCTATTTGTCTGTCAGATCAACCTCCTTGGTTGCATGGCAGAAATCACTAAGAAAACTATGTTTTTGGTGGTCATACGGCTACACCCGTCCTGTAATTCGCATTTTATCTTAAAGACAGTATTCCTGTTATGGTCTTTGGTGAGAGTGAGAAATTTGCCTCTTTCTATTTAGTTTTTTTTTTTAATAAAGTCTTGTAACCCTTCCAAAAAAGTTGCCATAATACTACATTTACATAAATACTGCATAAACATTGTTTTCTGCATTTTTATTTTGTGTGGTTTAAATAATTTCCTTTCTGTTACATAAGTATGTGACAAGAAATAAATTATAAAAAACTCACTAACCTCCACCAGTTCAGGTTTGTACAAGAAGATAAAAGGGTATGTTGGCCCAAGCCACACACAAAACATCCCATTGGGATACTCGTACACCCACTGGAACATCTGCGTCACAAGATCTATCAATTAAAACAAAAACTGATAAATTAAGGAGTTACAGTAAGAAAACACATCTACGGTCAAATCACACTTTCTGCATGTGATGTGCACTCTTCATTTGCTTGTGCATAAACACGAAAAGCTTTCCAAAATTTTTCTCATAGATATCATTCAATGAGGTAATAATGACATTATTCATGAAATTAAGAATTAATATGCACATACAATTTGATAATATAAATTTTGTTCTGTAGTCTTATGACAAAGTCACTAGGAGTAGATCCTGACGTTTCGACTGCTTACTGCAAGTCTTCTTCAGGCGATGGGGTCGACTGGTTCCAGCACAGCATTATGCATCATGGTGGTCCGCTGTGATTGGTGCATTTTGATCCGGCTATTGTCTCTGTGTAACATGGTTTCCTCAGGCATTCGCTGATTTGCCGTACATCCCTGGCTTTAATGTTTTCTAACTGTCAGCATCCACGCTTCCGGTATTTCGGCTCCGTTGTCCCTGTTTATATTGTTTGGGTTGCAAGCAAGATGAAGGGTAGCCATTGGCAACAAGAACTGTGGATTGATGTTTCTTCTCCTGGGCTGTTCCTGATGGCTTGGTGATGATACGTTCAGCCCGGTCATGTAAACATTTGACAATACCGCGTTTTACTGATTGTGGATGGTGTGTATCATACATGAGGTACTGGTCAGTGTGTGTGGGCTTTCTATATACACTTGTGTGTAGTTTACCATCTGGTTCCCTTGTTACGAGGGTGTCGAGAGAGGTGATCTTGTTGTCATTCTCAGTTTCCATGGTGAAGCGGATAGACAGGTGTTGTTGGTGGAGGTGGCTCAGGAAATTATCCACATTGTTCTGTTTCATGATGGTGAACATATCATCTACATAGCGCTTCCATATCCTCGGTGGTTCTGGGGCGGTTGCTAAGGTTTGTTATTCAAAAGCTTCCATGTACAGGTCAGCAATTACAGCGGAAACCGGGCTCCCCATTGGTGTTCTTGTTTCTTAAATATTACAAGTTGCATTTGCCCAAAGGGCTGGGCAATTATGTTGCTTTAAGAAAAAAATTATTCGTGTTTGTTTATTCCATATTTTAAGCAACTCAAGGGATGACATGTACAAACAGATCACGCCTGGTGTGCATAAGTTAAATGTCTTTGCTAAGGTTCATGTCGCACTACAGCCCAAACCAAAAATTACGCGGCCAAAAAATTTTCAAAAAGTTGAAACCAAAAGCAGAAGTGCTGAAAAATGTGACACAATTTTTGGGTTGCACTGCTGAAATACGTAGATAGGTCAAAATAAACACAGTTGATCAGATTTCATTTCTGGCGGGTATTGGGCATCGATAAACATGAACCCAAATCAGGCTTTTCGTTTTGCTTTTGCCATTCTATTTCTACAAATTATCAACATGCAACAACAACAAATGTTTGTATTTTTCACCCTGTATTAGAGATGGATAAATGAATACATGTAAATCCTGAATGTTACTTTTCTTAGAAGACGGTGGCATTTACATAGAATTTGTGTTGTGCCCGACCCATAGGCTTACTAGAACCCTTCATTCTTCTTGCTGCCATTTTTCATATTGTTTTTTTCTGCTTTTCAGCTTGGCTATCATCTTTTTCTTTCCAACCTTTAGCTGACCTGGAGTTGGTCAGGCTATTAGTGTCACAAACCACACTTGCTGAACTATTAAATATTGTCGAATAATAACTACTGCATCTATTAGACAAAATTCCCATGGGTCCCGCTTGATCAGATCTCAGCCAGTGTAGAGTGAAAATGAGGAAAATTTTGCATTGGGAATGATCCCAGCGCGTGGTTAAAAGGAAAATGGCAAATAGTAAAAAGGAAAACATCAACAATTTAACTGCAAGTGACTGGCGTTGACAGCTCCGGAATCAGTGTCTTGTTTTTTTCCCAAAATCTGCCTGCCCCACCATACACTTCGGTGTCTTTGAAGCTTCCTCAGAATTTCCAAAATTTTAGAAATTTGTAGAACATTGTCCGCATAAGGAAACGTGTTGTGATGACAGATAATAATCCTCTTTTAACAGATAATTGACCAAAACTTCCCTGGTGCGACCCAGGCCTGAGTTTAACAATTAATTGACGCATTCATTTGCAAATAATTTCAAATTTTTTATTTACAGACTCAGCATCAAGCTTCAAAAACTGTAATCAGAAGTAAGATTTATAAAAATAGTTCAATATAAATGGGCTTTTTAAAGGAAAAAATGGTATTTTCTAGTCAACTGAGAATGTAACGGGAATATATATAACGGCGTAATATGCGACTAACACAGTCTATATACTGTAAGATTTTACGCCACTAACCCAGTCGGTAGATTAGTTATAATAAATTAATATATAATGAAATTATATTACTGGCGTAAAATTTACATTATATATATCACCGACTGGAAGAAATTACGCCGTTAGTTACTGACGTAAAATCTTACATATATATACATCACCGACTGGAAGAAATTACGCCGTTAGTTACTGGCGTAAAATCTTACATATATATATCACCGACTGGAAGAAATTACGCCGTTGGTTACTGGCGTAAAATCTTACATATATAAATCACCGACTGGAAGAAATTACGCCGTTAGTTACTGGCGTAAAATCTTACATATAAGACAACCGACTGGAAGAAATTACGCCGTTAGTTACTGGCGTAAAATCTTCCATATAAACACAACCGACTGGAAGAAATTACGCCGTTAGTTACTGGCGTAAGATCATACATATAAGACAACCGACTGGAAGAAATTACGCCGTTAGTTACTGGCGTAAGATCTTCCATATAAACACAACCGACTGGAAGAAATTACGCCGTTAGTTACTGGCGTAAAATCTTACATATATATACATCACCGACTGGAGGAAATTACGCCGTTAGTTACTGGCGTAAATCTTACATATATAAATCACCGACTGGAAGAAATTACGCCGTTAGTTACTGGCTTAAAATCGTACATATAAACACAACCGACTGGAAGAAATTACGCCGTTAGTTACAGGCGTAAAATATTTCATATAAACACAACCGACTGGAAGAAATTACGCCGTTAGTTACTGGCTTAAAATCGTACATATAAACACAACCGACTGGAAGAAATTACGCCGTTAGTTACTGGCGTAAAATCTTCCATATAAGACAACCGACTGGAAGAAATTACACCGTTAGTTACTGGCTTAAAATCGTACATATAAACACAACTGACTGGAAGAAATTACGCCGTTAGTTACTGGCGTAAAATTTTCCCTATAAGACAACGGGGCGACCCTAAAAGCCGGAACGGTGGAATGGCGGAATGGCGGTGTGGCGGAAAATGACCCCAAATCCTAAAACATGGAACGGCGGAAAATGACCCTAGATCCTAAAACACGGAACGGCGGAAAATGACCCAAATCCTAAAACACGGAACGGATGTCAGGGCATGTTGCACAAATTTTGCACAAATTTTGTACAAAAACACTCGAGCGCGTGGCTCATTCATCCCCATGAGTTTTAGTCGCGGCATAAAAAGTCGCGCAAACCAAACCATGGGATCCTCGACCGATAGCCTCTTTTTTATCTCGCAACTGCTTCCATGCGAATAATGTTAAACGCCATGAGAAATTCCCACGCACGTGACACCCTGCAAACCTCTCTTTACCTAGTGTTACTCAAGTCCCAAAACTTATTCGTGGATGAAAAAACGCTCGTATTGAAGGGCTCGTAACGATTTGGTGTCTTTTTCCGCCACTCCGCCATTGCGCCATTCCGCCATTCCACCGTTCCGGCCTTTAGGGTCACCCGGTTGTCTCATAGGTAAGATTTTACTCTAGTAACTAACGGCGTAATTTCTTCCAGTCAGTTGTGTTTATATGTACGATTTTAAGCCAGTAACTAACGGCGTAATTTCTTCCAGTCGGTTGTCTTATATGGAAGATTTTACGCCAGTAACTAACCGCGTAATTTCTTCCAGTCGGTTGTCTTATATGGAAGATTTTACGCCCGTAACTAACGGCGTAATTTCTTCCAGTCGGTTGTCTTATATGTAAGATTTTACGCCAGTGACTAACGGCGTAATTTCTTCCAGTCGGTTGTCTTATATGGAAGATTTTACGCCAGTAACTATCGGCGTAATTTTTTCCAGTTTGTTGTGTTTATATGTACGATTTTACGCCAGTAACTAACGGCGTAATTTCTTCCAGTCCGTTATCTTATATGTAAGATCTTACGCCAGTAACTAACGACGTAATTTCTTCCAGTCGGTTGTGTTTATATGTAAGATTTTACGCCAGTAACTAACGGCGTAATTTCTTCCAGTCGGTTGTGTTTATAAGTAAGATTTTACGCCAGTAACTAACGGCGTAATTTCTTCCAGTCGGTTGTGTTTATATGTAAGATTTTACGCCAGTAACTAACGGCGTAATTTCTTCCAGTCGGTTGTGTTTATATGTAAGATTTTACGCCAGTAACTAACGGCGTAATTTCTTTCAGTCGGTTGTCTTATATGTAAGATTTTACGCCAGTAACTAACGGCGTAATTTCTTCCAGTCGGTTGTGTTTATATGTAAGATTTTACGCCAGTAACTAACGGCGTAATTTCTTCCAGTCGGTTGTCTTATATGGAAGATTTTACGCCCGTAACTAACGGCGTAATTTCTTCCAGTTGGTTGTGTTTATATGTACGATTTTACGCCAGTAACTAACGGCGTAATTTCTTCCAGTCGGTTATCTTATATGTAAGATTTCACGCCAGTAACTAACGGCGTAATTTCTTCCAGTCGGTTGTCTTATATGTACGATTTTACGCCAGTAACTAACGGCGTAATTTCTTCCGGTCGGTAATATATATATGGAAGATTTTACGCCAGTAACTAACGGCGTAATTTCTTCCAGTCTGTGATATATATATGTAAGATTTTACGCCAGTAACTAACGGCGTAATTTCTTCCAGTCGGTTAATTATACACTGTAAGATTTTACACCGTTAGTTAACGGCTTAAAATCTTACATATATATACACCGACGCACATAGTGGCGTAAAATCTTACAGTCTTTAGACTGTGTTAGTCAGATACTACGCCGTTATCTAACTACCGAATAATTAGCTTTGCTTCGTGAGTCGTAAGCTTGTCTCACTCACCATTCGGTAGTCTTGGCAGCTGCAGAACATTGCCAAACAAAAGGTTTGTCTTTGGGCCAGGCACCTTCCTCACTGGATCTGCTGAATGATGTCTTTCAAGTAGTACCAAGGAGATCAACACAACAGCAGCCAGCAGCAAAGAAATTGCCACCACTAAATACATGATCACTTGAAACCAAATAAATTACTGACAGCGTTTGTTCTCTCGATTTGTGATCTCTTTTGATCCGAAGATAAATCTGAATTCTTCCAGTATACTGAGTAGTTTTCTGATTGTTACAGCAACAACGAGTTCTGTAAATTACCGAGAAACCAAAAAATTAGACCACTATTCATAGGCCCAGGAGGTAGCGTGACCTTTAATGTCCGTGCAAAGCAAACACTCAGGTTTATTATAATAAAGTTCGGATATAACGCGCGCTGTCATTGGTTGAAAGAGCGTGCTCTATGAATGACTGCATTGCAGGGCTCTGGTTCGAATTAGTTCCGCACAGCAGACCGGCGCTCTACCAACTGAGCTAACCAGGCGGCGGTAATATGAGAGTATAGAGCATAGAGCATAGAGCTGAGCTACAGCTGTCACGCCATCTGCCAATTGTACTATGTTCGACCTTTGCCGGGACTTCTATTTAGCTTTTTTCCGATAATTGAAAGTGAAATTTCGGAACTGAAGCGAGCCGGCAAGTAGCAACAGAAGAATCAAACAAAGGTTTGTAAACATAGCAGGCGCCGTAATTTACGTTATTAAAACGTGAGCAGATACAAAAATCCTCAAAGGAAAAACAAAATAAACATTCCGAGTTTTAAAGATTTTCACGCTCAGTTAGATTGCAAGCTTACGTACGGTAATAAAAATCAAACACAGCTAACGCTCGTATAATATATAAAGTTCAGTGTTCAAAAACAAAATAGAATAAAAAAGAAATGATGAAAAATATAACCAAACTGGCATAATTGTTAAAATTCATACTAATCATGACGGTGTCTGAGCGAATATGATCATGCTGAAGTTCATCGCGGCTCGCTCATCATGGCGATCTCCGGTCATCACAGTAAAGCAAGCCTCAGAAACTACATCGGCCGCCCTTCGAGTGAAAAAATAAGAGCTTGCTCTGATATCCTTTCCAATACGTTGAGTGGCAATTCACATCAGTCACTGCAGCCGAGTTTTGCGGCGCTGTCATCACGAGCGATCTTCATGTTCCGGTGAATTCGGCTGTCGTTCATTCAAAAAACACTCGCCTTGAACTGTTTGTTTTCTACCTTGTCATGTGGAAAAAACTCGCGTGTTTTTATGAGCCATAATTCGGCTGAAGTTCACTGAACATTTCACTTCAAGATTCTGTATTAGAGAAGAAGTGGGAAGAAACACTCGACTACGTCTCGTGTTTCTCCCTACACTTCTTTCGTGCTCTAGCCGCTTCCTGCGTGCTTTATAACAGAACAGAGCACAATCAAGGCTTCTCTATTTGTTAATTAAGGCCTGGGTCAAAAATGATTTTCGCCTCCAGTGCCCCCCCAGCAAGGTTCGCGGAATTCGCGTGGACTGCGCGAGTAACCATAGTTACTTTGGAATCAAGATCGCGTAGTTCGTGAACGGCATCCGCCATTTTGAAGTGTCGGCTTTGCATTGGTTTTTCCCATCTTCGCTAGTGAATCCGACAATCTAGAGGAAGACATCAAAAGAAGGTAATAACATTTTCTTTGCTAGCTTCATTTCCTCAAAAAATGGCATGATATCGCTATCTTAAAGCCAAAGAGAACCCTTTTGAACCTACGAAGACTTCTAAAAACCGCTCTCAACATGTTCATTGACTTCCCTGCAAATACAATGCAACATGAATTTATGATATAGCGCTCATTTCTAGAGCTCAATAGCGTTTTACAATGTTGTAACTTATGCATAGAAAAAAGTACTATGTTTTGTAACAAATGCATAGAAAAAAGTTTCATTGTGGATATACCATTCAATTTTGAAATTAAATTTAGCTTGATAAATCCTCTATCACATCATGACGTATAAACTTATGGTGTTTATCAAAATTTAGGCTTTTGAATGCTTTGGAAACAATTTCTCCAAGAAGCAGATGAATTCACTGACAAAAGTAATCCCCCAAATCAGTTGTTAGGTAAGTTTAATTGCTGACATGTAAGATGCAGATTGTCTTGTCATAAATTGTCCCTTGAAAACTAAGAGAAAAAAGCTGTGCTAATGTGTGTTAGTTTATTCCGAGGTCGCTTACTGAATTGCTATAAATATATGATAATAATAATTTTAATTACTCACACAGAAAACCAGCCAGCCCTTGCAGATTCCAAAGGGCATCCACTTGATTAAACCAGTTTTATTTACTGTTATCCCTATTTGTTTTCTTGAAGAGGTCCTTCCAGTTATTCCACACAACTAATTTCTGACAAGAATGTTAATGGTGTTATTTATGAGGCATTTTTTTGGTTTTTAAATCATATAATATCAGTTTTAATTATAGTCAACAGTTTGGTTTTTAAGTTTTGACCGGTAATAATTGCAACAATCATTGTCAATGATGGACTTGTAATTGATATATGTGTCTATTTGAATGTAAATATTCTACCCACTACACCAGTGGAGTATCTTTTAATTCAAATGCATCACAAAAGTTCTGATACATGCATATGATTCTGACCATAGCCTTCTCTCTTTGTTGATAGAACATGATTAATTACCAGTGCTTACTGTTGCCCCAGGTGGGGCACTGTTTTTTTTGTGACAAGAGCAAACACAAACTGGTATAAGTTGTGTCATCTTCTCAGCCCAACTCATAAAAGATGTGCCATCTTAAAAGCAGGATAGGTTGCCCTTGTTACAAAGTCAGAAAGGAAAATTTTAAAATTGTATTTCTTGCTTTTTTTGTTGCTCTTCCAAGTCAATATTCCTGTTAGAAGGCTATGGTGGCCTAACTAGTTAAAACTCTGGTTTATAATTTCAAGTTTGATCTGCCAGTTGCTCGTCCAAATTCAATTTCATAGATCAATTTCATTGATCAATAATTGGCAGGAATTGGGAAATAAATTGGTACATGCCATATGTATGTTATCTAGCAGCGATGTAAAATTATAGACATGAGTATGACCTATGAAGTAATTTGTACCTGATGGACCCTAGAGCACCTTATCAGTGCATTATTAAAAAGGTCCCTCTAACATTCATTCACAATTCGTAAAGCAGAAGTACAAAATTAGTTTAGACCAAGGGCACACATAAACTTGCTAAAGACATGCACATACATAAGACTCCTGCTGTGACATGGCTAGGGTCACTTTACCTGATTAGAGTGTTAATTATTACTTTCTTAAGCAGAGGTTTCATTAAGATTATTGAGGTGATGGGAAATGCACAAGGAAGCAGGCAAAATATGTTTTGATTCTGATTTATGTCAGTCACAACTTGCAGGAAAATTATGTTCCCAGCCAGTCAATTTGCCCAGTGTCAGGCCCGTGAAACCCCTGCTTAAGCTTATTGTATTCAGTGAGATATTATGGAAGCCAGTGTTGCCATAATGCCTGTTGTTGTTGGTCTTCTTACAGGGCTGGCATCCAAACATTCTTGAGCCATGGAAACCAAAAGTGGAATGTTTTGCTTAACACCTACTTTGAACAGAATTTTACCAAGGGAAAAAATATCACTGGCTTTGCTACAGGGAGAACCATTAAGAACCTCAGGAGCAATATGAGGATAACAGATGCTGTACTTCTTTGCAGGAGGAAAGGAGCTGTCACATGCTTTTCCAGAATCGATGATGTAGCCATGTTTGTTACTCACAAGAACATTATTAGCCTTCAAATCACAGTGAAGAAAGCCTTTTGTGTGAACATGCGAAAGGGCTTCTGTCAAATCATGTGAAATAATTAACCAGTCATTTGTTATTAGTGAGCTTTGTACATTCTGTATTGTTGCACTGTTTTTCTGACAAGACAATAGTTTGCTTTTGGTTACAGATGTATTGTCTTCCCCTTTAAACTCCATTATTAAGGAAATGGGCTGCTTTTGAAGCTGCACACCTATTATGGTTGGGATATTTTTATGTGCGAGTGCCTGCATAATGTGAGCCTCCTTCATTATCTCTGTGGTGTCTTGCATCAGAGACTGTTTTTCCACAACCTTTATATCAAATCGTTTGTTAACTGTCTCAGAAGGCATCGACCATAGGATCCTTCTCCCATTATTATATTCTCTCCATTGGTTGGAAGAAGTTCAGTATGATTGATTAAGTTTACAGTGGAATATTTGGTACTTGCATTCCTTTAAAAAAAAACTGGAAAATGAAGGCAAATATGTTATAGAGAGTGTGCTTAAATAAATGCTAGATTGCAACGCAAGTAAAGGTGAAGATTGTTGATCTCTTTGTCTGGCATGCAAATTACTGCAAAGTAATACTTCCTTAATACTTAATACAAAGTAGCTCTTCCCACTGGGGAAAAGATTATGGATGGCATAATAGTGCACTTGACAACCTCCACGATTTGACAGTGTGTGCTATTTCTTCTGCGCTGTATTAAGAGCTTTCCAGTTTACCATTGAAAACGTGTCTTGGTACTGGGCCCTGGCTTTTGAGTTCATCTTTCGGAAAGAGCTGTAAATTGCTTTGGATTTCTTGACGTAGGTGGAACGTTCGACCGCAAAGACTTCTTGACTGTCACCCTCGAACGCTGCAAGATAGTTCTTCCACTTTTCACTAGGGTCAGTTTCAACCGAAGCGCTTCCAACCTTACGAAAGCTCTCCTTTACAGCAACTCTTGCAAACCCACAAGTAAAAATGACAGACATTTTCGTTTCATACGAATACACTTAGCTCGTTATCGAGTAGTACCGTTGTCAGGGAACAAAACCTTGAAGAGTTTAAAGGAATCAGCGTACGTATCTCGCGATAACTTTCAAGTTTTGCGCCAAAATTATAATTCAGTCTCGTTACATGATACTACCTGGGATAAAATTACAAACGTTCTTTATTCTTACCGCCCAAATTTGCAAGTTAAGAGACGAGAAGCTGATTTCTTGTGTTTTAGTATAACTGTCAAAGGCGATCTAACAGGGTCGGCCAGGGTTTTTGTGTATTCGGTATTCAGGGGCGTTTTAAATCGGGTATACGGTATATTGCAGCTTAAATATGGGTATTCAGTATATCACTTTCTTTGAATTTCAGGTATAAAGTATATCTTCCTTTCCTCATTGTTTCCTGTGCTTTTGATTAGACAGTGATTAGATATTCTAAATCGTACGAAATTTGGTAGGTTCATGTTTATACAAGTAAAAGAACATTAAAAAAAGGAACAAAAGGATACAACGGAGACGTGTACATGACTGTGG